GCTAATATGTGTACACCCTACGATAACTCATCTCTTCAGCTGATATGTGTACACCCTACGATACCTCATCTCTTCACCTGATATGTGTACACCCTACGATACCTCATCTCTTCACCTGATATTAAGAGATGAGGTATGTAGGGTAGGTGGTACACATATCAAGAGATGAGGTATGTAGGGTATATCAGGTGGTGTACACCCTACGATACCTCATCTCTTCACCTGATAGGTGTACACCCTACGATACCTCATCTCTTCACCTGATATGTGTACACCCTACTATACCTCATCTCTTCACCTGATATGTGTACACCCTACGATACCTCATCTCTTCACCTGATATGTGTACACCCTACAATACCTCATCAGCTACTATATATATATAAACAATTCTTACAATTTATGTGTTAATTTTCTGTGTAAAGTTTCAAAGCTGCATTATTTTGAACAGATTGAACTATCGTAACTTAGTCATTTTAGACACGCAGCAGTTTCGCTAACATGTCTTCAATACTTAAGACTGATTATCGGAAAATGAGTTTAAATACATATTTTTAAAATTAAAACGTCTTAGCTATATGTGTATATTACATAACCTCTTTAAATATAAATAATGCAATGATATCAAAAGTAATAGTATGGTGAAGATGAGAGACAAAATTATTCGAATATTAGATCATCATTGAGAGATTTAAATTGTTTTTGACTTTTGAGGTCACCTAACGTTACTCATGACTCAATCAAAACTGATGAGTTGATATTAAATATATTACCAAAATATCTGACATTTCACCATTATGTATTTTTTAGAAACAAAATATTTATTTATAGATAAAAAGTATATACAATAACAAATTATTAAAATAACTGTATCAGTTTATACTCGAATATTCGTTCCAACTTATTTAGTGTTTTCCAAGACACGTATGGATGTTATCTTGATAATCTTTTAGAATTATACATTAGTCTAAATATCGTAGATTTATCTAAGCCTTATATATATATCTAACCTACATAAAATCCTGTGTGTGTGTCACGTCACGCTTGATTTCTCGAAACCTAATATATATCTAACCTATATAAAATCCAGTGTGTATCACGTCACGATTGATTTCTCGAAACCTAATATATATCTAATCTATATAAAATCCAGTGTGTATCACGTCACGCTTGATTTCTCGAAATGTGAGGAGTCACAAAAGCCAAAATGCATTTATCCAAATAAAATAGTTGTATTATTGTCTGCCCATTACGATTTTAGTAACGAGGTTACAAGGGAGTCGTGAGGGAGTGCCGTAAAACCTTACAAGTGTAGTAAGTGTTGGTATAATAAGCCTAAAGTAAAGACGTAATGTTGGATCACCTAGCATAAACTTTATCATGGAAGTAAAAATATCGATTCAATTTTAAATTTAAATCGTTTCTGAATTAAGCTATTTTCTATTATATCACCAACGTTTTTAACAAGAACAAACCTCTTTAATCGACTCTAAATTAAGAAAACAATAAATATTTTTCCAGTTTTGTTGTCTATACATTTCATTTTATACTTTCAGTACATAGACTAACAACAATAAGCAACATGACATAAAAGCTATTGTTGGAACATAGTGTTACCAAAACGCACTGGCTTTTCAATAAATTAGAAGTTGTTAATCTAACTGATTTTTACCAATAATTATCCTATGAATACACCACGAATTCACTTCATGAACGATCTTAATTCTGATTGGCTCACAAAGGAATTTACCGAGATTTCAATGCCTAGACTACACTTTTCTGCCTCTGTGTTGGTCAAGTTTGATTTCGCAAAATGTATTTTTTCAGTTAGCAATGAAATGTGAGGTTAGGGTATACAATGGGATGGGGTGGTAATACTTGCCAAGTCATTTTTGACGGGCTGTACGCTAGTATCATACATAAACGTTGGTAAAGTTAAAGGAAGCGCAGTGCTGGATCTGACTGATCACAAGGTTGTAACGTACATAAACGTTGGTAAAGTTAAAGGAAGCGCAGTGCTGGATCTGACTGATCACAAGATTGTAACGTACATAAACGTTGGTTAAGTTAAGGAAGCGCAGTGCTGGATCTGACTGATCACAAGATTGTAACGTACATAAACGTTGGTTAAGTTAAAGGAAGCGCAGTGCTGGATCTGACTGATCACAAGATTGTAATGTACATAAACGTTGGTAGAAGTAGACAAAGTACATTGCTCGATCTAATTCTATTGTATTAGTACATTTCTATAATATGGAGAATTGTCTCTAAGGAGGTTTAATTGTGTTTACGCTACTATATATATATATATAAGCGCAACCTTTTTATTTGCACTTTTCAAAATTATTATTTCTGAGTGTTGGCTTCAAGGTTTAATTTCATGTAACAACATTTTGCAACCCTTGATTAAAAATGTTTCCAGGTAGAAAAAATACAATGTAAATTCTAAGAACTTATGAGGAAAGCAAAGAAAATATGTAGAAATGTGTCAACCATATTACATCTGTCATATCCAATGCAGACGAGGTTTTTCATCCAATACCAAGACTCATCAATAGTCTAGGCGCCATTTATATCATCAGTTTCATGAACAACAGCTGTTACGGTATGGACTAGATTAAGTAACTGAATTGCAATTATTATAAATTTTATTTATTTAAGTTATTTACAAATCAGAATTAGTGTAAGAACTAATAACACAAAATTAGGTTGTTAGAAATAAAATATTTCAAATGAAAGTACTCCAAAAGTATTTCCTTGATAGGTTTCGTATTTTGAATTTCAGGTACAAGAAAAAAAAAGGTTAACAATTATGATACATAGTTAATCACTAAAATCACAATATATTTTTTCCGTATAAGTTAAATACATTATCGTTGCCTTTACATATATAGTATTAAAAATAATTACGGAAACCGTAAAAAAAGGGTGGAATGAAACATAAAATTATGAGATTGTTTCTATTTCTATTGTATGGAAATAAACTGGAACAGAGTATAGTCAGGCGTTGACAATATACACCGTGAATGGCTGTCATCCATAAAATTATGAGATTGTTTTTATTTCTATTGTATGGAACAGAGTACAGTCAGGCGTTGACAATATACACAGTGAATGACTGTCATCCATAAAATTATGATATTGTTTCTATTTCTATTGTATGGAAATAAACTGGAACAGTGTACATTCAGGCGTTGACAATATACACAGTGAATGACTGTCATCCATAAAATTATGAGATTGTTTCTATTTCTATTGTATGGAAATAAAGTGGAACAGAGTACAGTCAGGCGTTGACAATATACACAGTGAATGGCTGTCATCCATAAAATTATGAGACTGTTTCTATTTCTATTGTATGGAAATA